AATAGAAAAACAGAAAAAGAAAAGGGGGGAGAGAGAGAGAGAGAGAGAGAGAGAGAGAGAGAGAGAGAGTTCAGGAACGAATTATCCAAAAGATTCTTCACACCATTTCCCTCATTCCCCTATCGTTTTAACAGAATAGAAATTAAGTTTTGGAAACACGTTTTTTACAAAACGCACTTATTCTATTACAATTAAATCTTAACATAAAATGACGCCGTGTAGAGTTTAAATTATTTCAGCTAGTCGTTGCCTATCTTCTTCCTTTCTCTTCCTAGTTTTGGCGCTTCTCTATCCCTTCATTTCCCAATTCAGCTGATCCTTCCAGCCTTCCTCATAACATCCCTCCCCCTTCAAAGGACCTTGTCCCCAAGGTTGAAAATCTGGTAATGTTACAGATGCAGCTTCCTTCTCTCCAATTCTTTTCTTAAGTAAAGATACATGAAACACCAGATAAATCTGGGTTGTAGATGGTAAATCCAGTTTGTAGGCCACATTCCCAATTCTTTGAATCACTTTGTAAGGTCCATAGTATTTCGCAGAAAGCTTCTTGTTGGATCTCCTGGCCACAGTTTGTTGAGCATAAGGGTGTAATTTCAGGTACACCCAATCTCCAATCAGAAATTTCCTTTCACTCATGTTCTTATCTGCGTGAAACTTCATCTTAGCATTGGCCTGAGCTAGATTTTCTTTCAGAATTCTTTCCATCTCATGCCTTTCCTGTAAGTACCTCTTCCACTGAAGTAATGGGAATATGTTGATAAGGCCCCAGAGCCAATTGAGGGGCGTTTGATGATAAGTGTAGTTTCTACACTTATTTGAGGTCCTAAATGATGATATTTTACTGCTCTTTAGATAAAATACTACCTAACTTGTGTTTTATTTCATTTTGTAGGTAAAACTCAATGTTTGATGAAAAATTGGAGAAAGGAATGCAAAGATAGCGAAAAATGGCTCAACTATATCAAATACAAAGTTCGGGGACGGAAATGCAAATATTCAAAAGTTACATTGAACCTTGCAATGGAGATTTGAGAGTGTTAGACATCAATTGGATGAGGAAAGATGTCAAATGGACGAAATATAGTCCAAATATTATCACATATCAACTTCTAGCTGAAAAAGTTATGCTCGGATTTTCAAGATCACATTGAGACCTAATTTTGGCATAGAAAACTTTTGAATTGGGAAAGGTTTAAGAATCTGTTCAGAAAATGCCTAGCCTGGACATTCCAAAAGAGGCTAAAAGTATCTCTTCTACAGCGGGCTACATCAAGAGTTCAGAAATATGATAGATGCTTCATCAGGAGGATCAGTGATGAAACTTGACGTCGATGATGCCTATGAATTGTATGAAAGGATAGCCGAGAATCAATCGATGTGGCCAACTGATAGGGAAGCTCTAAGGAAAATAGTTAGGGTGCACAACGTGGATGCAGTAACAGCATTGGCGACACAAATGGAGGTTCTTACAAGGAAAATGGATAAGCTATCTCAAT